TTCTTTCTTTCTTTCTTTCTTTCTTTCTTTCTTTCTTTCTTTCTCACTCAGGATAAACTGAACTCACCAAGGTCACACTCTATAGAAACCACTCTTGCCTAATAACTATCCCTAAACAAATAAATTAAATTCAACAACTAGATTCAAATTCTATAGTAGATCCAGATTCGTGCATCTCATAAAAAGCTATTTACACCCATTGGTAAATATTTTTAGTCTCAAAAATATTTACACTCGGTTGCATAAATGTTGTAGTATACTTTTATATACATATATACAAATACCTAATGAGATGAAAAWTTTTAAAAAGTCTTAAAATATGGCCGTGAATTGATGGAATCTGCATGATGGACAAAAATATCGGTATTTATACCTTTCTCTGTCGCAAGATCTATACTTATCTATACTTACAAGATCTATATAGCTACATGTTGTTTTGGTGTTTGAGATGATATTAAATTATATTTTTTCTTTAATAGTATCTTACGCTGAATGATGTCAGTTTTCATTTTCGTTTTGAAAAAAAAAAAAAAAAAAAATTTTACATTTGCAGGCATTAATAGTACAGACAGATTCTGCACTGCCCGTACTAACACTACAGGGCCTACAGTAATTAGTGAAGGCTGTTATGGTGTCCCTGCCCTCGCGAGCAAAAGTAAAAATAAAATATAAAATAAAATAAATACTGAAGGTTTTAATTTTTCCTTCATTTTCGACTTGCTGATCATCTTATATATCAGCTATATGTCATTTGTGTCATTTCCTAATCTTTAATTCCTATTTTAATACATTTATAAATAATCAAGGATTCCGGAATTTTCGCAAACGGTTTAATTGCTACAAACGTTTTAATTACATCGATCTTCCTTCCTCCTCTCTGCCTTCCTCCTCTCTGCCTCTCTCCTTTCTTTATTTTTCTCTGTTTCTATTTCCTTGTCTTTCTATCTCCTCCAACAAATGTGTCGAGTAGAGTTTATTAGCTCTCTCCTTTGATTCTAGGGTTTTTCTCCTGGTTTGAGGGTTTTCCTCCCTCTTCAAAACCTATAAACGAGCTAAATTCAAGTTCAATATGTCAGTTAGCCATGCCTTGACTTTGATCAGCACAGAGGTTATTTTACGGTTCGATAAAAATTGAATATTTATAGTATATTATATATTAAATAATTATATTATTTTATATGTATATCATATTTTAATAAAATAATTGTTCCTATTTGTCCCTCTCTCTTTCTAACATTCAGGCTATCTGAAGAAAAAATTTCCCTTAATACTGAAATCAGTATAAATTATTTTACATTTTTTGTTATTATTTAAATACGAATTGACCAAGATAGGCTTTAACTGCCAGTAGCTACTGCTACAATTAAAAATAAAATATATAGTTACTACCACAATTAAAAAATTAAGACTAAAGCAACTCAGTTAAATCATATGTAAAATAAATGAAATGGAATCTTAGGCTCTCTAAGGATACAGCTATGCAGTATATTTCATGATAAATGGAAAAACTTAAGATATATCTCACGATATATCTCCTGTTGTTATTGAAAACTCAGGTTGTTGGTATACACATATTGAGATATAACTTTAAGAGTCAGAATTTTTGCAATAGCTGCCTATATACTTATACTTATTTATATATACGTATATTGTATGCAAAAATAAAGATATAAGATGCAAACCTTTCATTTCAACGCCTGCGAAGATGGATAAATAGCTCGTTCTGAGTGTCCTAAGACGCTTTAGCTTCGACGAGTTTTGCTCTCGACGTTTATCGTCATCGTAACCAACGCATCCAGGAGGAATGTAATCCTCTCTGATTAGTCATTTTGATTTTTTTTTTACCAAGTTATTATCAAGGATATTCAAGCAATACAAGATTATTAGGCTCAGACTGTTCTCTTCTCCAGGCATCGCCATATTCATTATCATAAAATAAGTATTCTGTGAAAAGCCTTTAAAATAATTTTTTTACGTTCAAGAATGACTTATGCTGCACGCTGACATTACAAAATTAGGTTTTTAAAGTATACGAATAATCCATGCCATGTCTTTTACATTCGAGTATTCCTTTTTTTTTAAATAAACATAATTTGGTTCCGACCTCATATTTTTGAATATATGATTTTCTATTTCATTTAATATAAATCAAAATTAAAAAATATTTGCTTGAAAACCAAGTTATGAAAGCTTACTTTTTTTCGTAATTGGCGCATCTGAGGAGTAGGTTATTTTTGCATACGTTTAATTTATTTTTGCACGAGAAATGTTTTTATTTAAATGTGAGGATTTGCTCGCTCCTACTTGAAAGGAAGGAAGTTCGCTTACAACATGGTAAAAAAGTAATTAATCTAGGAGCTAATGAACACATATATACGCAACGAATCAATTTGTCTTTTTTCACAACCTGACAACGAGCACTTCTATAGACTATTATTTCCAAGGGGGAAAAACATGTTTTATTTTGCTTTAAAAAAATATTTGCTTAAGCAGTTCAACATTGGATTCGAACCAAAATCTTAGGTAATTCTACACAAGCATTTATCATCTGTAATCGTAGAATTTCATTAAATTTCTGTGGATTAGCGGCAACTAAATTTAGTTCATTTAAGCTTTCAAAGGCATTGTGAAGTCAGTTATATTTTGTAATATCTAACCAATCTGATTCAGTTTTTGCCACAAGAAACCATAAAAAAATTATGATAAACAAGAATCCTTTAGTACAGATATTTGCCAAAACAAATACTAGTATTAATTGTTAGCACCTTCTCGATGTAAGTAAATCAATCTAGTATGATTTAGCTTAGATATCATGATTTGTATTTCAGGGAGTTGTGTTTGAAGTGGATATATGTCACTAGTAAGCAACTTGCAAAACATAACCTCTTAATACGTAATTTACTGACTTCCATACATCAAATACTATTCCTTCGTTATTGCAACGCAAAAAAATTCTCAGTTTGTCAAACGGCGAAATATCAAAATTTCAAAATACCAAGAAACCTTTTAGTCCTTTAAAGCAAATCATTCAAAGTTTCGTATTTGTTTTTCCATAAAGCTGTTATTCCAAACTGCTGTTATTCTGTAAATTTTTTAAAGAAGAAACGACCTATTTTCCTTAGAATACATTCATAAGGTGATAAAAACGAATACCAGTGTTTTTTAAGTGGGATAAAGTAACTCTCCATGACTTAAATCCATACCTTGGGTATTTTCTAGTCTCCTGAAGTTCTGTGGCCGAGTAATAAAGAGTTCCACTACTCCAACGCACGGACGCAAAATGAACGAAAACACAAACAATCTCTCGCTAGCAGGTGTCATCAACTGGAATCTCGGGTTCACTGCTGCGACACAACCGCTTACAGATGCCCAATTCAAATCCGTCCTACAATTTCTCAATTCCACAAATCTAGAACTCCTGATTTTCAGTCCTATAGTTGGCTTACAAGCTTGTAGTAATCATAGCTTAAGTCATTTTTTGATTCCTAAAGTTAATGCGTGTGACAGTGAACGAGCTTTGTGTTTGTCGAGCTTTTTATAATAGCACGCTTCAGTACTATTTTTGTTATACATAATTTATGCCTTTAGGCGGGTTGATTCGCAAGCCTCATCAAAAATCGGGAGACTGAATTACTGAAATTCAATTTCTTTGTGTTTTCGCGTATTTTCAATTTTCTACTTTGCATAATTCAAAACTAAACTTTTTCTGAAATCGTCCTGGAATTAAATTCCTAATTTTTCTAAATCTTTAATCCATTGAGAAAACAACAAAGAGCCTAATCCTCACAGCAAACATAGGGAAATATTTTGAATGACTATTCTATCGATTTCTTAGTCCTAAAGATTCCCTTTTTATTTATTTATTGACTTTAAAAATTCACTCCCAAACAACCCAAGAGTGGATAGCCTATAGGTTGTTTGATATAGCTGCATTAATTTGTGGTTTGAAATAATTCATTTAGTCATTCCCAATGTTTTTTTGCAAGCGTTATCTAGTGTACCTCTAGAATGAGTATAACCGCTGCGGGGAACATCCTTTTCTATTCTTTTTCCTCTAAATTATTTTCAGTTTCGCTTCGAACATGAGAAGAAAATGTTTTCGAAGAAATGCGGTCATTTATTCAAGTCTTAAACAGTTCACCTTAAAGCTTCTTTTCACACGTATTTCCACTTTTTTAAGTGGGATTGAACTTGCATTGGTTCATTTTAAGTATTTTTAGATGGCTTATAGCCCACCAAATCCATCGGTTTACTGGTAATACTTTAACTCAGTGGTAAACCACAGAAAAATCAAAATCTTCAACTGAATCTGGCCAAGGTCATCCCAGCTAAAACTTAAATAAAATGCTACCTAAAAAAACTACGGCTTTTAAGGACCTCAAAATTGCATTTATAAAGACTGAAAAAACATTGAACTTTACAAATGCAAAAACAAAAATAATGTATCTATTATCATAACACTATTGTATTGGTTTACTCATTTTTTATGTGTTTTCTGCGTAGGGAGATTTTGCATTAGACATATTTAGAGGTCTATTTTGTAAAGGTATTGTCTGATTGCATTCACTATAATTGAATGGTCCTACTATAACGTTCCAGTTGCTTTGCCGATTTAATTGAACTACAGTACAAGATAGCGGAGCCCTTTTAGAGATTGCCAATGGGGTACCCAATTGTTAGTTAACTTCTAATTTTTCGGCCGCATGTCAGTTAACTGTAATAGTATTACGAGCGTTGGTCATAATATCAAACAAAAGAATGAAATATCAGTTAACTTTTAACTACTAATTTTAGGTTATTTGTCAGTTAGTTACTTTTTTTTTGTTTTTTGCCACTGAATTGTCAGTTAACTATACTAACGCCATTGCCCACCTCCTTTGACTGGAGGTTGGCAATGGAGATGGACATTTGGATGGAGATTCTTCTTATGGATATCATGTACATGTCTCCATATAGTTTCTCAAGCTTCACTGGAAGCCAAAGGGATTTTGCTCAAGACAACGCGTTCCGAGTACCTTGGGCTCCAGATATTTCGCTTCCTCCTGTGGCTGTAAAAAACGTCAGAGCAAGAATAGATCCCTTGCTTTAAATCCCTGTACCTGGGGGTCAAAACAATAAATGTATTAACATCTTAAGACATTTAAATCCTCAAAAAAAGGGAATTCTTTTGTTTTGACGCCCAGACTGAGCTGCTTTGACGTCATATGCAAGGGGTCTATAAATAGCCTCTGGACTCAAAGTAAAATTTCGAGATGGGAGAACATGACGGACTAAGTAAAAGGGCCCGATCTTTGCCTGGTTTTCTTTGTATCATTAGCATTCATGGCTGTTACATCAGGCTGCAGTCAATATACTTATGACGTCAACTGATCGTGCACCAACTGAGATCGCTATTCATACGCAAACCTAAGTGCACTCATGTTACGTGGAAACGTTTTTTCTAGTATTACATTAGTAATTTTGATAAACAATACGTAGTAGCTACAGAAGCATTGGTAGTATACAGCTATTTCAAAAAACTTTGAATCCTGATATTGAATACTAAATAGTGTATTCCAAGACCGAAATGCATTTTGGGTCCTATGTAATATTGTCCAAAGTACAAAAATAAATTATAATTATACACCGAATCGAAATATGGCGACCAATTTGAATTACTATTGTTCTGCACTGACTAGCGACTGATTGGCCTCTCATACATGTGAAAATGCTTTTATGTTTGCACGTGATCACGAGGCTACTCAGTCGCTAGTCAGTGCAGAACAATAGTTATTCAAATTGGTCGCCATATTTCGATTCGGTGTATTATCTTGTTTTTAGTACATTATATCCGAAACAATACACTATAGTTAAATATAGGGAACAAATCGCTGTATATTTACTTTTTATTTCGAATTAACGAGACCCACAATGCACATTGGTCTTGGAATGCACTACTCCAAGTATGCAGTATTCAGTATCCAACATTTTAAAAAAAAATTTGCAGTTATTATTTGAAAAAAAAAAAAAAAAGATGACGTAGGTTTTGTTGCATGCTGAATCTTGAATCTGGCTTGCTGCTTACTAAGCTTTGAAATGTATATAAAATACACCTATTTCAAAAAAAAGTTGTCATCGCCAAAAGCGATAGGCGATATAGGGCATTCCAAGATGGAAATGGTTTCGTCCACTACAGACAACATTGACGAAAATAAGCAGAAACACAAGTCATTCCAGCTATTCTTGGATCTTGGAATGACCTATGTCAAATTGCTTTTCGCCTATTGCCTTTGGTGATGTGAAATAATTTTAGCGGATGACTACTTTAAATGGCAGTCCCGTCTCAATAAAATGAAACGTAAACTGAGAACCACTGAGAACGCAACGAAACCCTGGCCGTGACTACTCTCAGTGCCAGCGACCGAGGCCCGCTTCCAGTATAGTACCGAAGCTACTATAAGGCCTCCAAAAAGTGTATCATTATAAATACCTCAATCAACTGCTATTTCAATAAGTTCAGTTTTAATTACCAGATGTAATATTTATATTTTTGTAGTATTATTTCATCTCTATTTCGCCTCTATTCATCTCTCATTCGCCTCTATTTCATCTCTTTCTCTATAGTTACATTCAGCGAACAGTTTAAGAGACTCGAGTAAAAATAATTCGTGTTATATTCCAAGTTTTGAAGAAACTGGGCACAACATTGGTTTTAAACAAATTAAACAAATATAGTTGATTTACATATTTGTTTTAAAATAATATCAAATTTAAAATATTACCTTAATTATAATTTCATTTATATTAGTATAAACATGAACACCTGACCAATATATCGTTTCCTATTAAACATAAACTCACCTAAATTGTGGTCTACAAATGGCTTCAAAAACAAAAAAAAAAAAAAAAAGGGGAGAAAGAAAAAAAAGGGGAGAAAGAAAAGAAAAGAAAAGAAAAGAAAAGAAAAGAAAAGAAAAGAAAGGAAAAAAAGAAAAACAAACAAACAAACAAAAATTGGTAACGGTGTATTACTGACTATGACGTTGATGATGATGATGAGGACGTTGTTGATGATGGTGCAAAATGGTTCCTTTGAATTTGAAATTAGGAAATTTAGTAAAATTAGGGTAATTATTATATCCCGCAAATCTTGAATAAATAGCCAATTTTATCAGTTAACCATGATTCTTGTCGTATTTACAATTAAAAAATATGAACTTAAATTTTGAAGCCGGAAGTTCGAAGTCAATATTGTTAGTGTGACAATTATTTTGACGAAAATAGTCGAAGAATTAGATATCATGTTCGACATAATAAAAGCTATCTACCTGTAGTTTATCTATTTAAACTCACCAATGTGTACTTGATTACGACCAACTAAGACATTTTTTAATCAATTATTTTTTGGTGTAGACGTTTGAAATTTGCATTTCCTTCGAACCGATTTCAAACTGAGCTTGACATGCATTGCCACAATAAATTCAATTACTTAATATTTTTTCTAATTTTTCTTATGAAAATAAAAAAACAATATAAATTAGATTTACAGGAAGTCAAGTGAAAATGTAAATATAATATAAAAAATTTCCATGGCGCGTTTAAAATATTCCTCAATAGATTCTTGAATTCAAAATTACAGGCTTGACAAATACGCAATTTAAGATCTTACGACATCAGTGACAGCCTTCAGGATGTAAAAAAAAACATCCCCATTCTCAAAAACTTGGTATTAAAATCAGTAATATGTTCAAAATATATATCTAATTATTTCAATGTCATGAAGATAGACTATTTCAAAAAAATACCTTAAAAATGTATGGTATTAATTCAAATACGATTGTTGGCAAGTTCTCCACATACCTTTTTATTTGATATCTCAGAAGTTCGCTTTGAACTGACCCATCAACCGTAAAACTGTTCCAAGATGTTGGAAGTCGATGTACGCCTTGAAATACTCGAATATAATGAAGGCCAAGTAGACTATTAATAAATTCTGTGGCGCTGTCTAGCAGGTGTCGGGTGCTGGCTGGGCTATTTCAGTGACCGCGAAAGGCAATATTCACTGGAACCCAAAGAGTATGGATGTATAAACCAGATTAAACCAGAACACATTATAACACTTATAGTAATATTACTAGAGTGCATACCATATATGCGTGAAAAACTTTGTAAGAATCTGCACAAATTTGCACAAATTATTAAGCTCAGTAGATCTCAGGGACTGGTCATAAAGTATTGGGGGGGGGGGGGGGGCAAAATTAGAATAGAATCAGTATTTTTTTTTATCTTGGCCCATTTAACAAATAGACATCAGTTTTTTTATGTGTCTGTCCTCTTATTGACAATAAATTGCGTCATCACATTGGTTAAAGTTTAACGTCAATAAGAGGACAGACACATAAAAAACTGATGTCTATTTGTTTTTTATAATAACAGAAACGATAAAAAATTCTCATTTTTAGCGATCAAAACAACCAACGGAAAGAGCGCTCGCTCGTTGACGTCAGCTTTATCTGTCTGTCCTCTTATTGATGATAAAAAATAACCAATCAGCGCGCTAGAAATTTGTAAGTTATTGTAAAATATAAAATGATGCTGAAAATGTGATGACCCAACCCCA